GCCGACGTAAGTTTTACACTTTTTTATTATTAAACTTACAATTGACACATGTAAAATTTTTTTATATTTTCCAGATGGATTCATGTCCAGAGACAATCATTTTTTGCAATTACGTATAATGTGATTACACTAACTATACTAATTTGAATAATTGTAGTGTATATACTCACATGTGGACATGGTTATCACAATCATTGCCTATGAAAGTGTCAATCTAAATGTTTGATATCTTGGATTATCTTCAAGTCAAAATCAAAAAAAATGTCAACACACTAAAAAAAGTATGATGAAAAATATTAAATGAAAATGAATTTATCAAAAATAATGAAAATACAGTTGATGATGATCCAGGCAATGTTGAATCAGCAACAGATGACAGCAATAATGGAAATTTTATTAGAACAAAAAAATTTTATGGGTTGTAAATTTTGTTTTTATTAAATAAATTTGTTTGATTTTTCATACATTGTTCATTTTTTGTCACAATCATGTATCTTAAATTTGTTGTGTTTACAATCATTCCATTGACATTCATTATATTAAGGTTATTTTGATTTTAGGAAGAGAGTTATTCTTTGACCAAGTCAAAAAACAACTCTTTAAATACATTTTCGAGTAGTACAATTTAATTTATCAGACTATTTCAATGGTTCCTTCCAACTTCTTAAATTCTTTAATGAAACAATTGTTGGTGAAGTGATTGTTGACAAAATGAATCAAACTCATATTTATTTCTACATTTATCAAATTCGCGATTTTAATTGGTCGATCAACAAATGGCATGGGTTAAAATTTTGTGTTCCCTCCTGTTAATTTTGTGTTCCCAGAACGGTCTCTCCTGTTGCAGAAATATGAATATAAAGATCTTCAGTATAAACATTACACAATATGCGATGCAACCATTACAATATATTAATATAGAAAGATGGTTGTAATATTTAATGCATCACACGACTTATGTAGCAAATTCATTCTAATTGGTCAATATTAACCGGGTAATTGATAGGTCCAAGTTTTACTATCTCACAATATAAAGAATTTCCAGGGTTGTTGAATGATGGCATTTTACAGTTTCCTTTCTAACTTTTAGCGAGCTATAAAAACATTATGATTTTTATATTTTATGAATAGCATAAGTTTAAATCTTAGTATAACTAATGTTCATCTGTTATCAGATGAATAGGTACCATATTATGTTTCCCACAAGATACTTTTTTTCCATTCAAGTGACATTTTAATCCTGATGGGTACATGAACTTCTTTCCACATTCTGTGCATATTTGATCTGTTTTAGATCTATTGGATTTAGTATGGGCAATTGATGCATTATTTACGATTTTTTTTTATCTTTACCCTTATGGACAGAGATAGGTACATTAAACATTAAACCAGCAGAGTCACCAACATAAAGAATTTGATTCTGGAAATCTATTTTAGCCTGTGCTCTATCAAGACAAGGTGTACCAAGAAGTAGTGAGGTTTATTATCATCCACAATGATAAAATCATTTAATAAAGTGAAGAATCCAACACTTAGGACACTGACATATATTATTTTAATAGTAGCATTTACTTCCCTAGGTAAGACATTTTGATCATGTGTATGACAATCATTTATCCTTTTAGGTATCAACAAAGCACAAGCAAAATAAAAAGAATTAATTTTATTAATAAATCAAACATTTTAAAGCAACATTGGAGTAAAAAAATTTTCCTTTATAATATATTACGATCTCTTGGAATTCCTGGGTGTGATTTGCATTGGCAATTTCTTGACAAAACAACCTATTTGGTTTTGAGTGTAATAACACTTACTTATTTGAAAGTTACAAACAATGCATCCTGCTAAAGGAAAATCTAAGAACAAAACTCAAGGATTCTTGATTATTTCTCTCTTCTCAATTACAATAAAAGTGAATCTTTTGACAAAATATATTTAAGGAAATGTATATCAGATAAAGAATTATTAATTATAGCATTTATGTATATGAGAATGTGAGAATTAATTGCCATATCATCCTGTAGACAAAAAATGTGTAATGACAATTGATTTACATGTAGAACATTCCCAAATTAAAAACACTTACATTCAAAATTATAAAAATGCAGCAGATCTTTCACTGAAGCTATTATGATCACGTTATTTATGAGATTATGTGTGACCTAAGATTTTCTGTTATACCCCCACCCCCTAAAATATTAGTTAATATATGTCAGCGCCCTTACAGGAATATTGTACACCCACCCAATAGTATCAGATTTAGCAGCTACACCTTCAAGAGAAGTAGGTCTACTTGTATCATTATCATGTTCCAATTTTTTAGCAATATTTAATGACATTATAGAGCAATTTGTCTCACCATCAAGGACAGCACTAGGGATACTTAATTTATTAATTTTGCACTTTATAGTTACTACATCACTAGCTGGTTTATTAGGAATATTGAATACCATAAGTTCACTAACATTTTCAATAGCTGGTTGATTATTAGAAGTGTTCTCAATGGACTGTTGCTCATTCAAAGAAGTGTTTGCATGAGATGGATTTTTGCCTTGCTTTACTGCTGTAATGAGATATTCTAGTAGCTTCATAGACTTCCCAAGTTACAATCTTCTTTTTAGGTATTATCTTCAACACAAGACTTTTACAGAATTTGTAGTATAGGTTTCTTCCTCATATTCATATTCATCATCCTTGTCCTCATATTCAGATTCTTCATCAACTTCTTCATATTCAGTATTAGTTTGATTCACAATTCTTCTGGGAGTACCCACTGGAAGTTGCCTGGAGAGATTATAAAGAGTATAATCAACATCCATAGGATCATCAAGACGATTTTCTTCACTATCAATAGCTATCTGGACAGTGTCTCTGATATTCCTATATCTATTTATTTTATCAAATTTTGGATTGGATTCCATTTCGATTTTCCTTTGCACTACTTGATCTATTAATGGTTCCAATTTTGTAATAAAGATTATTAATATTATCTCTATAAATAAATAAGACGATTCTTTTACAAAGTTCAAAGGCTTCTATAAAGTTCCTTTTATACATATAAAAAATCAATCGAAGGGAAATGTCAGATGACTACTCACCCACATAACCTTAATATAGTAATGATTGTCTTGATATCCCATTACAATTTTAATCATAGATTTTCTCTTTTTATTAGACGATTTAGTTGGATTATCTATCTGTATTTTTAATTGATCTAATCAATTTTTAATATTCAAAGGGTTTAAATGTTTCATATTTTAATCCGCCAAAGATTGGAGGTTGTGGAGAGTTGAGAGGACTGGGGAGTTTACCCATTAAGGTGAATGTAGCTGTTGTATCACTAGAGAATCTGAAAGATGATTATATTAATTTGTTTTTTTATACAAATCAGTTATAATCATAAATAATGATGACTAAATGATTTAATCAAAACCATTTACCTTAAGCTTAATTGAGGAGACCAGGCAGGGAAAGTTGATTGAAAGTAACTTAGATTTAAGTATAGGCCTGGTGCTGGCATATGCTTTCAATATTAAAAATAAAGTTTTTATTTTTAAATTATTTTACCAGATGCTTTTTAATCCAAACATGTATGCCTATTTTATCCAAATCATCCTATGAATATAAGTGATATTTTTTAATTTGTAAAGGAGAAGATGCATTTTTATTTTGAAAAGAAAATATATGGAGAATTTTTTTAATTAGTTCAACGGGTTGCTTAACAATTTAGAATGTCCGATATTTAATGCCCATCGCAGTTGGATGTTGAATTAAATAATTTTATTCCATAAAACTAATCAAGATATAAATTAAAATGTCAAGTATATATACAGTCTAATCCTCGAAAGTCGTAAAAACCGATTTGTCATATATATGACACTAAAATCATACCTACTGGCCTAATTATCTGAAGATAATAGCAGACCCAAAGTTGTAATCTACTAGTTTATCAAATCGAATCACTAAACAATCCTTCTTTTCCGAATAATTAAATTTATTATTATCCTTGTATTTTTTTCCCTTGTCTAATTTTCAAAAATGTAACTCGTTGCATGAACATACCTAGATACATGTCTTGTTCTCCCGTTGCAGTTACTTTCTTTACATTTGTCAGTTACACTATCTATGACCCTCTTTACGTTCGTTACGACTAACATAATAATAATAGTAATAGTAAATAGTTTCTATACAAATTAATCAAATAAATTTAAAACATAACATTTTGTAAAATTCCACGTGATAATTATCCTTTATGCATCATTTCAATATACGTACGATGATATTAAATCTTTATTTATCCCCGCAACACGCATTTTTATAATTTGGAAATTTTGATGATCCTATATTTCTGTCATGGTGTTCTTGATATGTCAATATTTGAAGTTTTAAAATTATCACCAATAGAAGAAAAAGGAAGAGGAAGTGAAGGGAGAAAGTAAATAATTTTGAATTGAATTATTGTATTTTTTATAAAATTTCATTATAATTACTATTATTGATATTTACTTTTATTTTCTTGACTTTCGATAATATTGTAGTTATGATTATATCATAAATTTTCTTCTGATCCTGCCTAAATTTACTAGGTTCATGTCTTTCGAGATAACATCTCTATAACTATGAATTCTTTTCTAAAGAGACTGTTGGTTTTGCTGCTGAGTTTAGTAATTAACAATATATTAAAAAGTGATAGTTGAATTCAATCCATTGATATTCGGTCAACCAATTCATATCCAGTGATGTTTATGTGTGGTACTTATTTATATAAAAGTAGTATTTTTTAATTTTTTAATGTATTTATGAAAGGAAAATAATTTGTAATCACGTAGATAGAGAATTCAAAATAACGCCATCTTTATATCTTTGTCATAAAAATTAGAAATTTGTTCAATTGCTTGCTATTTATAGCAATCAGACGAAATTCTGTCTAAATCATTGACAATGTTGCCGAGTACATTGTGATGAGTATTGAGAACATTGTTTTCTGCGGTTTGAAAGTAAAATTCTACTGAACATTACAATAATAAGAATTGATGGTATGTCACATTTCTGAGAAGAATATGCATTTTAATATTACAATCACCAGTTGTAAACGTTCAGTGATTTTCTTTAGTAGATTCTTTGTTTCAACCATTGCCAGGAGATCTTAAATTATTGTTGTTGTTGTTACAGTCATTTTTATAGCTAATCTGGGCCATTATTCAAAAAAACAATATTCTATATGATGTTTGGTGAAATAAGTTGTAAAACTATCACGTCAAATTCAATGCCATTGAGTCAAGAATGACACAAGTCAAAAACTCTTAACGTAAGCAATATTGTTTTAAAGGCTAATAAAATACGAAATCTCACAAAATAGCATATATTCCCTTCAATTTGGCATCAAAAGCCAATACCTATTATGTAGATTATTGATAAAACACAATGTTTTTATTGATATTGCGACTAAATACTCACAATTGTTTATTTTTTAGTTATAATATAATGTGATTTGGGGTGCCT